GCTGATGGACAGCGGGTGCCACTGCTCATCCCCGGTGTGCCGGCCTGGCCGCGGGCAATGCCCACGCCTGAGCCGGGTGGGACAGCCCTTACCTCCCCGCTGCCCCCCCTTGTTTTGCCTGGTGCTGACAGACTCCCTTCCATCGCTTTTTAATTATTTCACATGTACAAGCGCTGCGAGCTTCAGTGGCTCCGAGGCTAATTACATCGGGCAGGTGCTGGAGTAACGCAGTGCAACTTCCTCAGCTGCCTCACCATGATGTGGATAATTGGTTAACATTTAAGTGATTTGGATTTAATTCACAGCTTCTGTAATGGAGATGGGCAGGGGAGACTTTGTTGGGTGAGGAGCAGGGCTCTGGGCTCCGGGCTCCTCTCGTCTCCTGCTGGGGTGGTGTGATGCAGAAGTGACCCATGGGGATTTCTTTTTTCATGTGGATTTGCTGGGGCTGAGCTGGGAGCTCTGGAGGCTGGACCTGCTCAGGGATGCTGGTTTGGGAGAAGCCAGGCTGGGCTGGGGAGCAGAGCTGTGTGGGTGCTGTGCTGCTCTATGGTGGGGTGGCCTGGGGAGCTGGGCTGGATGGGCTCTGCATGGGGCCTGGGCTGGTGCACTCCCCTGTCATGAGTGGTGCATGGTCTCAGCAGGTCCTGCTGGAGGCTGGACATGAGGAAGGATGCCCTGGAGAGCACGGGGGAAGGTCTGCCCCAGGGTTCATGGGGAGGGCAGAGCAATGGAAGGTGAAGTGGTCCTACCTCTGTGAATCTTGTTAAAGGCATCTGCAGGGGAAAAGAGAAGCCCCTGGGCCAGGAAGGTGCTGACCCTGCATGGGGGTCACCTCTCAACGCAGGGGCTATGGGAGAGCCTGGTGGTAGCAGAAATGAGTGCAGCCTTGCAGCCCTGACCCGAAATACAGACCAGGGCTGTTCCTGCAGGCACTTGGAGCTGTTCAGGCCACAAGGACCCTCCGCTTCCTTCCCTTGAGCCCTTGGGAGTCAGACCCTCGCTTGCTGCGGGGGAAATCTGGCTTCGGTGAGGAGCAGGTGTGAAGCCTGGATGTCAGGCATGGTCTCAGGAAGGGCTGCCAGCAAACCTGCCTGGGGCAGGGGGCTGCCCAGCACCACACGAGAGCTCAGGGGTTCCCGCTTGGCTCGCTGTCTGCAGCCCCCCGTGCCCCTTGCGGCATCCGGGAGAGACCTGTGCCTCAGCCTGCCTGTCCCCGCACCATCGCAACCCTGGGAGCTGCGGAGCAGCCAGCTCTCCGAATGCTTAGTTAAATTACATTTATTTTTAAAATTCTTGAATCTTCTTGGCAGGAAATAGAATTTCCCTGAAGAGATTTTCTAGTGGGTGAGCAAGGCTGGCAGTCTGAATCAAGAATCCCTCCTGTCTTCCCAACAGACTCTTTAGGAGCTGACATTGGTGCAGTCTTTGATTAAAGTAAGAACTTGTCCTCCCCAGCCCCTGCAGGAACTCGCACATATGGTCCCTCTCGCAGCGGCTGACGGTCCCTGGCGTGAGGCCACTGCATCCGTCTGTACCCGCTGGTTCCCGCAGAGCGGCCGGGCTCCGCTGGGGATGCCTGCCTACCTGGCACGGGGACCGGCAGGGGCCGATCGGTGCCCCCGCCCCGCACACCCTGGAAGGGCCAGGGAGATGCCACAGCGTTCACCAGCTCCTCCCTTCCGCAGAGCTCTGCCTGCTCCTCTGAAATCCCTTCCCAGTGGCAGAGCTGGGGGGCGAGAGCAGAGCAGCTCGGCTGCAATCAGCTGCTTGGATGGCACCCCTGAACCCTTCTCTGTCTAATTTGCGGAGTGATTGGGTGCTAGAGCGTGTCTGATGCTAGTCATCGCTGCAGGAAGGTAGCTGGGGAGCAGGTTTGTCTCTGAGTGATTTCAGAACAAAACGTGTTAGAAACATCCTGGAAATGTCTTTGCGGTGATTCAGACCTGGTTTGGGAAGAAAAACTCCATCCCAGGGGGAGCTGGGGGAAGTCGTTAGCATTGTACATAGCTCACTTGGCATCCCTGGATCCCGTGCTCCAAATAACTCATCCCCAATAACATCTAATTCATTCCATTTATTAATAATTAGATCTGAGCCAGCCCACCAGAGGCAATGTGTGCACGCTGTGCTGGGGAGGCACATCCTCAGGACAAAACCTGGAGAAGAAGAAACACCCCGGGGCAGGTCGGGGGCCAGGGCACACGCTTGCCCCCAACGCGCTGCGCAGCACCCGTGGGGACCGAGGACTGCTTTTCCCCGCAGTGAGGAGCAGAGGCTCTGCAGTGACCCAGCACCCTGCTGCAAAATAAGGCAAAAGCAGCCCCTCCTGGGTTAAAAGCACGGGCCGGGGTGAACCCGGGCATGTTCCCACCCAGCCTGGGGCAGCTCAGCCCAGCCCCGCAGCACGGGCCGGGCTTTTCCAGGCACCGCTCAGGGCTTAGAGACCTTTGGGGCAGGCAGGGAGTTACTTGATGAGGTCGGGGTGGGTTTTCCCGAGGAATTCTCGCTTCTTCCAGCAGAAGGTCAGAGGACGCCAAGCGCTGCGGGTGGCTCTGTGCACAGCACCAGCGGCCCTTGGAGCCGGGCACATCCCCGCCTCATGTGCCGGGTGGGAGAGACGGACACGGTTGTGACAACAGCAACAAATCCTTCTAGTCACAACATCGTCGGGAGCGCTCGCGATTACGGGCTGAGGCTGTGGTGTGTGCTAAATATAGAGCCCTGGTCCTCGCGCACTTAAGGAAACAAATGATCTGATGAGCATCTTTCTGCTGAAATACGAGCCCATTTATTAAGCTAAATGGATGTGAAATGCAAATGTGAGGTTACTTTTCAGCTATTTCCAAATAATAATTAAAGCCTTTTGGGACTGCTCATTAGACACGTTTGCCATGTGACTCCCGATCCGCTCCCTGGTGGGGAAGAGGGATCCCGGGGAGGATGCCTGGTGAGCACCAAGCCCTCCCAAACACCCCGGTTTGGTTGCAGACCTGTGCCGAAAAACCGGTTGGTGTTGCAACCCTGTCCCGAACAGCCCAGCCACGGCTGAGACCGGTGAGCCGCGGCCACGCTCTGTGCCACAGTGCCCCGAGATGCAGGTCTGCTCCCAGGGCTGGCACTGGTGGAGCTGGGACCCCACCAGTACCCCAACCGGCAGCTCCTGGTGCCCCTCCCTCTTCCTCTTGTCTCACCCTCAC